AGATTGATTGAAGTATAATTTTTTTAACACGCTTTTTAATTAGCTTGGCCTGTATGTATGGAATCTTTGAGCATAATTTTCACCACTTTCCAACCAAGGACCGATGGCGATGCAATAATTTGATAACACTTTTCCATTCTCCTTATTAGGATCTGAAGTATTGATAAATTCGCTCGCAACTGTTTGCTGCTGGACAAGCTTATGTAGCACTTAGTCGTGTAAGATCTTTCGGAATTCGGATTGAACAACTTGATTGCTCTAAGTTATCAGGAAAAACTCCATGCAACAGTGAAGCTTTAAATGAAATGATTAGATTACGAAATGATTAGTAAAATATTTCAATACCACATGTCCACAAAAACTAATTGATAAATAAAAATAAGAAATGAAAAAAATAAAAAGCGTGCTTTTATAGCTAACCGAACAATAAATCATAATTAATGACCTCAAAATAAAATTAGAATAACATTTAAGTTATTAACAGAATAATTCAATTCAGAGTTAAAAGCGTGAGGTGCATTTTACTAAATTTTCATAACCCTCCTTCATAGATAGTTGCTAATAGATGTTTGGAAATTTGAATGCTCCGGCTCACTGGAGAAACTTTGGTAAATAGTGGAGTGTATAACGATGGGTTCTGATCATTGCAGATTAAAATGATTAAATAGTGAGTCGATTTGAGTGACGGTTTTCTATATTAAAAACGATTATACACATCAATGGTCGTTATGCAAGTAGCGGACAGCGGAACTACGTAATAATCTTAACATAGCCCCCCTTTTGAAGGGATGAATTCAAAATATAATGTCCAAGGCTTATACAACATTGTTCAAAAGTTCATATAACAGTTTTAAAAGTTCATATCAATGGTCAACTTCATCTTGATTGGGCAGTGCACATAGGTGTTTAACACTGCGGGTGGTGATGCCTCTGGATGTCTGGACACTGGCGATTCTGGCGACACCATCTTTTCCGGGAAGTAACTTTATAATCCTTCCAATTCACCATTTACATGGTGGCTGGTGGTCGTGTTTCATCAATACGACAGTTCCAATGTCGATATTGGTTGGACAACTATGCCATTTATACTGCTGGTGTAACTGGGAGATGTAATGTTTCGAAATTTGATACCAAAATTGTTGATACAATTGTTGTACATGCTGGGGCAGGCGATTCTTGTTTACATTACATAAGTTGAGATCAGGGATAGACGTTATTTGGCGTCCAATTAGGAAATGAGAAGGCGTGAGAGGAGCAAAGTTGTTTGGGTCGTTAGATGAGGCAAATAATGGTCGTGAGTTCAGAATTCCTTCAATTTGAATGACTAAAGTATTGAGCTCTTCACAAGTAACATTACTGCGCAAAATTCTATCCAGATGATGCTTCATTGATTTCACAGCAGCTTCCCATAAACCATCGAGATTTGATGTATACGGAGGTATAAAGTTCCATTTGATATTAAAATCATTAGTTGACTCAACAAGGGAGTCGCAATTTTCATGAAGAAAGTGACGTAATTCTTTATATATCCCCACGCTTTTTACTCTGAATTGAATTATTAAATTTTATTTTGAGGTTATTAATTATGATTGACTGTTCCACATTACTGTAATATAAACTCTTTGTAGTTAAAAATTATTTTTTACTTTTTAGTTCGGTTAGCTATAAAAGCGTGTTTTTTAGTTTTTTTATACTATTATTTATTAGCCATAGCGCACACCTCAAGGTACAAGCCTTGCTCTTTCAAAAGCCGTTTGGTGATATCTTTTTTTGTGAGATATGACACTTTGAAATTTTCATTTGTCTGCATTTCACTATATCTGTTAGATATGGGATGGCTGTGCTTTAAATTATAATAGGCATACAAAACATTGATAAAACAATGTATTTTCATGCAAAGCCTGCCAACTAAAAAGCCTATAAATTCTCAACACTTCTTCTTCTTCCTACTTTATGAATAGGCTAATGCCGGTTTCACTTCCATTTTCAGCCTCAATTGATGTTGTGTGACCATCTTTTCCTCGGTCGTCCCATTGATCTTCTTCCATTTGGGATTTGTCTCTTGCTATTCGTACTGTTCTATTTTCTGTCATTCTCGCTCGTATTTCCTCACTTCTTACTCAGTCTCTTAGAGATTGGTTTATTATTTTTCGTAAGACTTTCATTTCTGCTGTTTCCAATAATCTTTGTGTTTTCGCTGTATCTGTTCTTGTTTCCGCTGTGTACGTCATTATCGGTCTTATTGTTGATTTATATACCCTAGTTTTCGTTTCGGTTGTGAGGTATTTGTTTCTCCAGAATGTATTGTTGAGACATCCTGCTGCTCTGTTCGCCATGTTCACTTGTTTTTGTACTTCTTCTTCCACTTTTCCATAGCTTGACAGTTTGATTCCCAAATATTTCGTTTCCATCACTTGTTCTATTATTTTGTTATTTACGACCAGTTTACATCGTTTCGGTTCCGCTGATATCACTATCGATTCAGTTTTCTCTGTTTAAATCACCATGTTGTATATGAGCGCCATATCTTCGAATTCTTTGATTAATCTTTGTAGGTCATCTTCATTTCATCCATTATCAGACTAAACATTAGTGGGCTCAGCGACTCTCCTTGTCTAAGGGCAGTTTGATACTTGATAGGTTGCGAGAGTTTTCCTTTACATCTTACCATAGCTATGTTATCTTTATATATATATATATATATTCAATAGTTTTTACTAAATCCAGCGGTATTCCCTTGTCACATAATAAATATATGACGTCCCGAATTCTCACCCTATCAAACGCTTTCTTCAAATCTATCAGGCACATATATGCTGGTTTGTTGTATTCCAGCGACTTTCCTTTTATTTGTCTCATTACAAAAACTGCATCCGTGCATGATCTTCCTGTCCGGAATCCCTGTTCCTCTTGCAGAGTTATTCGTTCGTTTATTTTTGTCTCTATTATTCTTGTTGTCAGTTTGAGTGTTGTATTTAACAGATTTATTGCTCGATAATTATTGGGGTCTTTCTTATCTCCTTTGATGAAGAACATCAGCATGGTCGCTCTCCTCCATTCATCTGGTATTCTGTTCGTGGTGATTATTTTTTGAATAAGGAGCTGCAGTGGTTGTACCAGGTAATCACCTCCATATTTTAAGAGTTCATTTGGTATTTGATCTTCACCTGGTGAATTTCTATTTTTCATTTTATTTATTCCTTGTTTCACATGTTCTTGGGAGATTTCGGTCTTTTCATCAGTTATTATATTTGGCGTTTCTGGTAAAGATTATTCGTCTTCTTTTTTAAACAGTTCTGTCAGGAAGACCACTCATGTATCCTCTTTTATGTGTTCTATTTCAACTAGTTCTTTCATTTCGCTTCTTTGTTGTCTTATGAAGTGCCATATTTGTTTCTGTTGTCCGTAGAAATCCATCCAAATTCTCAACACTAAATTCACAAAATATCTAAAACTACAAGACCACAATCCACCCTATATCATATCAAGGTCGACCATAATGTTCTTACTTTTAATTGAACAATTTAAAGTAAAAATCATCAGTTCTGATGAAAATTTTAAAGTGTCGTATCTCTGCGAAATAAATACAAATTTGGGCAAACTCAACGCCATTTGAAAGGACAGGGCTTACCTGTATACTGAAGATGAACAAAAACGCCCTTGCTACATAACCTCAAATATGGGCAAAAACCGCTATTGCTACACATTTAGGTTAGGGTATCTCGGGAATTAAAGCCAGTGTTCTATGTACCAAGTCATTTTCACGAGTATCCATTACGGTAGAATGACAGCTGATTATCTAGTAATATTTCAAAATTCTCCATATCGGCAAAGGACACATAATCCTTACGGATTCCTCAATGCCAGGTGGACAGAGTTATGTTTGTTTTGTTTTTTGTACTCTCCAGATTCACTTTGTACTTGCTAAAGGCTCTTTCATTTAGATACGTTCATTCGCGTACAAAAAACAGAACGCTACAAACAAGTTTTACTAGATTTACACCCGATTCATTATTGCCGACGTGAGACGTCAAAGTGTGATGGATACTCGTGAAATAGGGTAATCGAAAATTTCACTTTTAAAGTTACGTAATAGGTACCCATGGTACGTGACGCCACGTGCACATGTCCTCTAGGTCACACAGCGCGACCGCCATCTGTGGAGGAATGGCGCAACGTCCAATCTGCTGTAACTCTGCATAAACCACAGCAACCGCATAATGTCGCTACCATCGTTTGTGGGTACAACCTTGTAGGGAGGAAGTATACTATATATTTAATAAACTGATATATTACTTTTGGAGGTCTTACAAAAGAGCTACATTGAATCTATAAATATTTAATTTTGTTTTTGATTTTAATTTGTATTTTGAAAATGGCTGGAATACGCTAAGCAATGACCGAAGATACAAAGTTAAAATAGACATTAAATGAGTGCCAAAAAGCGATTGTAGATCCTAGCGCCAGCTATGAGACACCCGTACTTGTTTTTTTTTTTTTCGAGCTTGATAAGTTCCTCAAAGTTTGTCTTGGTGCACTTCGAACAAACAAGAAAATAACACTGTCTTAAAGACCTTAAAAAAGGCAATCTAGTCTGGAAGGACATACATAGATATCACTAACCAGCAAAGGTTGGAAAATATTTGAGCAGGACCTGGCAGGACGAATAAGTTTATATTATTTTTATTTGAAAAGACAACCGTCGCAATCGAAATATCAATATAGAGTCCTTCAATCAGCGAGTCGATGTTATTCAGTTCCGCAATGCTTCGCATGCGCATACTGTTATTGATTGGGGATTCAACACCCTACTAAAAGATGACATTTGGTCATTGCATCAAAAGATGGCGATGTCGTCGTAGATCCACTTATAGCTTGCGCCGCCCATATATCTTAGCTTAGTTAATTTAGGTACGGAAAGGCGGAAACGAGAAGATTGGGTAGAATAAATACTTAAACTATACGAGAGTATACTTTTATTTAAGCATTCGAAATAAGGCTATTCCTTAACAGAAAGTGAAAGAACTAAGTGATCTAAAATAGAAGTATTATATTCGATGAGACAAGACCTAAGACACATTGAATTTATAAAAAAAAATGTTGCAAAACTCACCTTCCAGTAAAGACTTTTCAAAAATGTAATAATAATGCTTATGTAATAGCTCAATGAAAGAAAAATTAGTGTCTGTTTATTATACAATTTGTGAACTAATTAAAATGACAATGTCTCTCAACTCTCACAATGCAACATTTGCGCTGTGGTGTGGTTCAAGTTGTATATTATTGCTTCAAGGGATCCTTAAACGTAGATTTGCACGTGAAAGCAGTTGAACGTTCCTTTGACGATGTCTTGACAATTTCGATACTGTATGATTTTGATAATAGTTATATTTTAAAAATTTAATATTGCTTAAAACATTGTCATTTTTCATGTTTGTGAAATGAATTTCCGTTAATAGGTCGATAAAATTAAATACTGGTGGATTTCTAAGTTATATATACATCATGTGCTGCTATTGTACAGCTGATATAACTAATGGTTATGTGACAAAGAAATAAACAAGAATTTATAAGTTATTTGTGGTGGAAAGATACAAAATAAGCCATACTAGTGCAGCTAGTTCTATTACAATTTTGGTGCAGACCTACGATATAGTTTGCCACTTATTCACAAAAAAGAAATGGTTTATTAAAAATAGATGACAAGAGTATATATTTCACCGTCCAGCGGTGACTTAACTGTATCAAAATTACTGTAATTCTCCGACTATATTATACAAAACAATTACACCAAACTCTAAGACACTGTTGGACCCATTTAATAAAAAGATTAAATCTACACCTATACCTACCAATTATTATAGTATTCATTCTGCCTATGCACAGTGGTTCAAGAATAAAAAAATCTAGCCAAGAGTCCAAACAAATTTTTTTCGCTTTAAGCCCAGATTTTGCCGTTAGTTGAAGGAATACAAAACTCATCTTTTGATGATATCAGTTCCACTTAGATGGCTCTCCATGCGGAATTATAGTGAAGTGAATGTCACCAAACGTTGAAATAGCAAGAAACTCGTGTCAAAAAGGTGTGTAAGAGTCAAAAGTTTTTATAATTATAATATGGACATATTACTTGCCAATTGACTATTTGAACGTGATTCAAACGTTTTTTTTTTGCAAACATGCCCGCCATATTAGATGCGCCGTTTTCATTTTGGACAAATGGACAATATTATCTGTGACCTCGAAAGCATATAGATAAAGTTTTTTGCAGGAATTTAGGTTTAGTTCTAGTTTTGGCGATGACCTACGACTTTTGAACCACTGTGCTGTGTAGAGACAAGAGGATAAAAAAACGTTTTATTGCTATTCTCTTAATTTTTACATACTGGTATAGTATTTTTTTATTAGTGAAATTATGTTGAAAAATAAAAGTATTTCCAGAGATCAACTAACCTTTTTTCATGTAAAGTCCATAAACTTTTCAATTCATAATTCTTCCTACAGGTTTTTTCAAGCACTTGCTCGTTAACTACCTATATTATTTATTATAATTTAAGAAACTTTTTACTATACGAATTTTGTATACACTAATTCAAAGTAATGAAAATACAGATCAAACCATATAAGGCACTTACACTTACATTTTAAATTTTGAGCCTGAGCTACTTAGAAGTGCTGACTGAAGAGAGCCACTAAGCGTTGTTGGTAAGTACCTACTTTGTCACAGACAAAAGTACAAGGTGTGGTAGAACCAACTAAGCAGTTTCAAGGAATTATAAAAGAGGCATCTGGATCTAAGAGAAGAAACAATGTTTTCAATTTCGGAGTGAGCAGATAATACCACTACATTTATTAAGTTTTGAAAATAATATATTCAAGATGGCTGCCGTTCGACATCACCCTTCAACAAGACGAAACGTCCTGGAGACATTTATCTCAAAACATTCATTGAATATTGGGCTGGGTGAGCTGTAGCTCCATCTAACCTCAACCCAAATTGAAAGAACGCGTTAAGGAAGTGAGGTTAGTAGATGGAGCAACAACTCACATATCCCAGCATACAATGAATATTTTGAGAGAGCTGTTACCAGAATGGCCTGTGCGGTTTCCAAATTTTATCAACTGGGAATATCTGAAGAAAAAAGCGCTTCCTCCTCGCGCCCTATTAGACCTAAGAGAGAGTGCAGAGTCACCTCCAACAGTATGCTGCTGCTAAACTTGATACATAAACTACTTGGCCGACATTCAAAATATGTTCTCTATAAACCCAGACGTCTTTTTTAACGATTTGAATCTGCTTAAATCCTGCTGAACCTTTTAGTCATGTATTCTGTGTAAATTCAGAACATTGCGTTAAAGCAAAGGTATAAAAACCCGCTTGACTTACAACATACCCCCTTTTCTATATAGCAAACCTGTAGGTTATTAAATTTCATCAGCTAAAACGAATAACTACTCAAATTATCAAAACCTGAAATAGCTTACCAAATTGCGAAGTTATAACATTGTTTGAGTCACAAAGAGGGCCTATAACAGCACCTAATGGCTCTAATAAAGTAGTATTAATGGTTACTTAAGCATGCTCACGGCGTCACACATTCTGTATCACATTTTCTTGTATTGCAAAGGTTATTCATTATCATTTTTTCGAATTAACTACCTTACACATATTCACTGAGAGAGGGGTATTGGTACATTATACCAATAAAAGATTCTCCTTTTTCAATCAAGTAGAGAAAGTTTTTTAAAACTAAAGACGAGGTTCTCCAAAACAACTACGGTTAGGCTTCTCTAATTCTTCATTACATTTCACCTGGCCAATAAATGCACACGGCGTCAATAAATACTTAGCCTCAAATACGTACGACTTAGCTAGATAAATGAAATTTCTAGATAGAAATTTTCACTTCAACATAATGTCTATCACATTTATTCCTTTACGCTGTTTATATAATGATTATATATGTCCTTCCACATCCACTTGCTGGTAACTAGGGACTGACTGTACACCACCACCTCCTGCGAAGCCGTTGGCTATATGCCCAGCTTTCGCTGGGCCATATCCGTTGGTTTGTGCTCCTCCATTGGCCACCATGGCCTTCCCGTTAGCTATGAGGCCATTGGCCATTGCATGGACTCCTTTGGCCACGTTGTTCACATGACCGCTCACTGTTTGGATCGGAGTTGGAGGTCTGTGGTTTGACTGACTGTGGGTACCGTAGCCGTTTGGTATATGACCTGTAATTTCAAAGAGGAACAAGTTCTAATTAGAATTCAATCATATTATTATGAGAATTGAAACAAAAAGGAACAAAAGTGGTATAACAATATCTAATCTCTTCTATTTTTTCTGCAAACATTTGACATCGGCAATGAAGACAAACACAAGAATAACATATGTATTAGCTAATTTTGTGTCAGCAACTCTTTTCAAAAAGATTCTTGTAGATGATCTAGAGTAACTAAGACCCTAAATCTCCCCGCGGGATGTCCCCGTATGGATTGTATAAACAAATGTAAACCAGGTTGGTTATCAAAATATCAATGTGTCAGAGTGGTTCCACTTTCATTTAAAAAAGGGAACCGCAATAGTAAATTAGATGTATTGATTATTTTGTAACAGTCTCAAGTCATTAATCAGTCATTTTCGAATGTATGCTTTCTAATTTAGCACGAATATATGGTTCGGCTTACCATTAGACGCATAACCATTTTGGACGAGATTTTGTTCCATCTCTTCTTTTTGTGATTTAAGGTATTCGACGTGTTCTTTCACAACGCTTTGGAAATCTTCCTGAACTGGCACAGTATCGGTATCACCATCCACCTGAAATGCACGTTATCGTTTAGAGCTTATTATCAATATCGGTATAAGGTCTATAATGTATAATTCAATAGTATCTTTGCTATATAGAGACGTATATGCAAGTCGATTTATCTGTTTGGAAGTTAAAGAACCTGGATATCGTATCTCAAAATCTTGCCTAATGCAACTGTTTAAATATTGGATCTTTCTACAATAGAAATCAAGTGCTTCTAATTCCTTTATTTTAATTGAAATGGAAATTCTCATCACAATTCTAAGCGACTTGTTGGATTCACCCGCTTCATATGGACATTTTAGTAAATATGGTTTCATAACTCTAGCTTTGGAATCACTTGTTAATGCATTTCTAATTCTGCTTTAGTCTTTAAATCATCGCGTTCAAAAATCTTGTTATTGCTATTTTTAATGTGCAGTTTCAATAATCCCTGCCAATAATTTGACAGAAAATTTGCTTACTATTGTCAGCCTTCCAACGTTATCCATAGCCTTCAGCATAGGCAACGAACTCTTCCTAAATATTTCTAGTCTTCTTCTGAATGCAGTGACACTGTCGTCTAGTCTCCCCCTTCCCAGTTGCAGTTTAGAACAGTCTAGTAAGATTATCGTGGGTTTTTTGATCATACTGAAACAAAATAAGCAATATTCAAAGTGTGGAATACTACTATTATTATAAATTACATATTCAGATGAGCCATTTTGGATAAACAGAAAAATGAATTGAATTTAAATTTTGTTTTAGGTGGTTTTAACTTATATTTTGTTAAATGTTTCTTGAATAAGGAACATCGATATGTCTGTGGACGGTTTGTATGAACTGCAACGATTGTCCAACCATCAGACTTGTCAAGAGAAAACATCAAACTGCTAGTGCAGCCAGCAATTGTGAGGTTCATCTTTTTGTTCTATCCTATTTTTTTCCAGCGAAGACAGTTCGCGAAACGTACTTTGGAATTTGCTTCCAACGTTTCAGTAGTCTTGTCAAGGGTGCCTCCAAGAAGCTAGACAAGATTCGTCAACATTACGCAAACGTCATTCACTAAACCATATTCTAGGTGAAGGTAGAGCAGTGTATCATGTTTTGACTGGGTTAATACTACATTAACATTGCGTAGAGACAAACTTCCAGTAGTAGAGGTTGGGAACGTAATATACAACAAGTGAGTAAAAATTTAGTTAAAGTGCAATTCCTGAGGGACACCGATACGTGTAAGACAAACCGAGACATTTAGACACCCATACCAAATATCAAAATAAATGATCTGGAGCAAGTGTTTCTCCCTAAATAAGCTGTCCATGAAAATAATATTTACTCGCTGAGCGTATCATCAACAATTCAGTCGATAAGCTACGTTTTATTCCTTCACCTGATAAAATATACCGCTAGGTGTATCGATGTTTTGTTTCCATCGTGCCCTTGGGAAGGGATTAAATAATTGATGTCGACTAAATTATAACCTATTCAGCTGCCAGCGAGTGAACGGTATAATTATGACGTGAGAATCGGGAATGTAACTTGTAAATACGTATATGCCTGGGTAAGTCAGTTGTAGCAGCAGGGCGCTCATTTTTTCATATACCTATGTACCTAAGGTACAATTAGAACAACGAAATGAAGTGCTCAGTGAATGCGACCCAGCACACGAATCATTTATGCTTTATTACGGGTATCGCTGTCCACATATTGACGAAATGTCAAGTGTCATGAGCATTTTATATTTATTATGATTATGATCAATTGTAAACTAAACATTCGTTGTGTGCAAAGAGCGCTACGAATACGACCTATAAAGCTAACTCTATAATTTACCAGGATCTTTGTAGTTGCTTAATGAAGACTAATAGAGCACATTAATGATTCAGGTAAAATTACCGCAGCATGGCTCAATCAAACTTTTACTAGAAAAGTACAGAATACGTTAATGCAATAGTAAAAGTAAGGAAAAAAAGAAGCATTCCACTAAAGTTGACAGCGACCCTGTAGAACGTTGAAAAAAATCTTATTTATGGAAGACCAATTTGATCTCGTAAATGTATCCAAGTATTCTGCATCCGCGGCTTGAACTTGCTGTTTGGGTTACCTACCAATATTGATTAACGTGTTATACCGTTAGTCAACCACATACTGTATTCCGGGATCCAAAAGGAGATCTGAAAGATACTAGCACTCTTTATGAGTCAATAGCAGAACACGGAAATTAATTTACAAATCTACTTTTAAAAGAGTTGGTATACGTTAATCAATGACTTGAAATATCAATTAAAATAGACATTAGAGAGGCCAAAAAGGTATTGAAGAGTCGAGGGCCATCTATGAGACAGCAGAAGCGCCAAACACTCCTACTCATCGTTGTGTGTTACATGTAAAAAGTGTATTCGCCAGTAGTAGTAGTGGGGAGGGGAAGGCTGGCATCTGGATTACCCTTAACCCTTTTTGCCGTAGTCGCAGTACCAACAACGAACTACTACACAACCCATATACCGGTAACGGATTATTAAATAGACTAGTTCCAGCGGTGAGATGTTCCTAACGATAATATTGCACCGTCATGCGTAATATAAACAGCATCACACAATATCCATGGCACGGAATTAACTTCCGAGGCGAGCCCCAAGTTACTAGCTGATTGCGCTAAACACCTACCGAGGCTCTCTATTGTGAGGGAAACTACCAGGACTGTCGCAAAGTGAACAGGACAAAGAAAAAATGAACAAACGTTTTTGTTCAGAAAAATCGAATTTGTTTAAATAATAGTCTCCTTCAGAGTTAATACAGAGATTCAGCTCATTGACCGGGATGACATTTACAGTGGTCGTCAACGCCTTTTGGATGGCCTCTACGTCGGCTTACTGCTGTCCCTTCATGGTCAAATGTAGTTTACCGAACACGGTGCCATATCGGGAGAACATGGTATGTGGTTGATGGTTCAAATACCATTTTTTATCGAAAAATTGGTAACAAGCGTAGATCAATGAGATGGTGCATTATCGTGCAACAAGCGTGAGCTTCCTTCTCCGCGATATTCTGGCCGAACACGACGAATAAGCGAAAGCAAACGCCTCATAGCACCAAGATAAAAAACAGCATTAACCGTTTGTCCTGGTGGAACCAATTCTTTTCAAATAATTTCCATCGAATCGTAGAAACAAATCAACATTGTCTTCACTTTGGACTTTTGCAAACGGCTTTTTTTTCGAATTTGGCTTCCATTCGGCACTTTGACGCTTGGTTTTGGGATCGTATTTGTATCGGACGTCTTTCAAAAGTTCTGTTTACTTACGACAGACCTTGTAAATAGCCGCTCACGCTGTCAACATTTGGGAGACCAGTTTAAAATTCAAATTGTCAATCTGTTAAACTAATTAGATGTCCATTATTTCCATTGATATCTCTAATATTTGTATCCGACGTCAGTTATGTGAAGTTATCATCGAGCATCCGGCGAATAGTAGGCGTTCATAAAAATGTTTTAAGACATCAACGAACGGCTGTCGAAGGGTAGCACAGCGTGGCATTTCCTGTTGTCATTTGCTAGTGAGTGTCAAATTTGGCAGACATTTGATGACTGATGATAATACTCCAAGGTTCAGGAGATATTTTAGGGCCAACGGCGTCAGTGATCCCGGCGCCACCATTAGTGATTCTTCCTCAGAAGATTCTTTTTCCTAAGATTCTTCAGCTGACGAGTTGCACAGCACATCAGCGGCTTCTCCCGAGATCCCGCATTGCACACCAACAGAGCTTCAAGGCCATATTAAAGACCTCAAGGTGCGTGAAGCGCCTGGGGAGCATCAAATCACTAATAAGGCGCTGAAGCTGCTTTCACGTCCTTGACTTATCTCATGGCTATTATCAATGCCGAGCTAAGGACACAATACTTTCTATTGACATGGAACACTGCAGAAGCTATAGTGATTCCAAAGAAGGTGGGTTCGATATTTCCCCAGGCCTATCGTCCCATTAGCCAACTGTGTGCTCCATCTAAGCTCGCTGAAAAGGTGATTCTACGTCACCATGCGATATTTCTTGTCAGATCCCCATGTGATTCCTGACGTGCACTTTGGGTTTCGGTCTGAGCATAGTACGAAGTTACAGGCAGTTAGGCTTGTGGAGCGAGCAACCAGGGGCTGCACCCTTAACGAAAGTACTGGCATCTTGCTTCTGGATGTGGCATAAAGACCGTCTCTATAAATAATTCAAAAACGTAGCGGCGCCTCGCTTGAGGTTTCAGTGAATGGAGCTCGCATATCAAGGGGCAATTCTGCTAAGTATCGCGGTGAGACTCTTGACAGGGGGATGACCTGTCAGAATCACACTGAAGCGTTAAAAACTAAATTCCAAATTACGTTTCGGCAACTCTACCCTATGCTATGTGTAGAACCTCAAAATTAAGGTTGGTCAACAAAGTTTGGCTATACAAGATGGTTATCAGACCAGCAATCACTTACGTATGTGCAGCATGGTGTTTTCTTGCCAAAATGCATAAATATGCACAATCTGCAGGTTGTGCAGAACAGAACCTTGCGAACCATCACTAACGCACCATGGTATGTTTCCAATGAGACATCCCTTACCTCAGGCCCTACATCAAACATCAGGCACAGTTACGTTATAGTCAATCGCACAGCAGCCCTCTGTTGCATGAGTCAGTAGACTACACAGTCGAGCAAGTTCGCAAGCACACAATGCAATTCTAGGTCCAACCAAAATTACGATTTTTGCCACACACGAACTACTAAATTAATTTTTGGAACAATTTAAAATAACGGAATACCAGTTAACAATAGCAAGGCATTGCTTTAACTGGCGCAGTTCACCCTCTTTGCTCTTCCCCCTTTCTTCTTTTCTTCTTCCTTTCTTTCTCCCTGTCTTCGTCTGGTATCTGGGCAACCAGACCTGACAGATCTACTTACCTACAATACTTCAACAAAGAGCGAAGGTCCCACGGATCGCTCTGACGGACAATGACGAATAGTAATACTGCAAGGTATGCTTTCGTTGTTGTCTTAAAGGCTAGAAGTTGAAAATAGCCTTAGAGAACGGGTTCAGTAAAATCCGACTTTACCTCAGCTGGCGCTGTCATCGCGCACTCAACGAAGAAAGCATCAAAAGACTGCGGCTATCAAACCACCAACAGAATTTTGAAGCCGAAGGATTTGACATACGTAGAGCCAGAGTGACAACAATGGATTACAGTACCGCATCCAGAAAAGGCCCGGACGAATACCTCAGTAGAAAATATGGAGATAGCCATAATGAAAATACAGTTCGCAAAAGTGTCAAAAGTAAGTCGGATTCCATATCATATGTCAAAGAAGATGATATAAAATTTATTGTACCAAGGAAAATGTGTAATGGCAGCGCATCAGTTATTTTATACATATCCGTTAGATTTCTCTTCTTAACGATAAAATTTATTGTACCCAGGACAATGTGAAATGGCAGCGCATCAGTTAGCAGTCATTTTATAAATATCCGTTAGACTTTTCTTAACGATGAAATTTATTGTACCAAAGACAATGTGTAGTGGCAGCGCATCAAATTAGCAGCCTTTATATATATATATATATCCGTTAGATTTCTCTTCTTAACGTTAACCGAATGGATTATTAATGTTACTTTTACATTGATGTTAGTTCAACCTAGATGTAAGACTTTAAAACAATTGTTTTTGCTTGCGCAACATTGCTCAAATTGTGTTTTTTGGTCTAGTCAAGAAAGAAATGTTAAGTTTCCAGTTATGGCCAACAAATACTTAATAAACTGTTTACTATTTGTACCAGTTAAAATTATATTCTCAGCAATATTTGCATTCTTTTAATATAATACACATGGGTATAATTATCCAATGTGTACT